ATTGTGAAGGAGGAAATTTGGCAGCTCTCCCCACAACCCAATGTTCCTCTGGTCTCCAAGCCACCCAGTGCAAACAATCTGATGGGAGAGGGGCAGCCCTCGAAGCTTGATTATTCTCACTGGACAGGACCCCTAGGACATCCCTTTGTTTTTGGAGGGATCCAAATTCTACAGGAAGTACTAGGTAGGGATTTACAGTGAAGATGCTATCCTCTATTATTGCCCATACATGCTAAGGCCCCATTGTACTAGGTGCTGTATGTACACATTGTGGGATACAGCCTCTGTTCTGAGGAGCTTACAGTCTATAAAAGCCGAGATAGATAATGGATAGAAGGGCAAACAGAGGTGAAGTGACTTGCCCATGGTCAGAGATCTCCGGAGTCCTAATCCAGGTCCCTGTTCATGAGACCATGATGCCTCCTCACATGCTAGAAATCTGCCATTGTCTATATTGTGCCACTAATAATCATAATACTTGGTATTTTTTTATAAGCTCCTTTTACTTGATTAGTTTAAATATGGGCGTTGGGTATGTAAGGCATCGCCCTGCCCACCCTCCGCCCCCAGAACATCTGCTATAGGCATTTTGGGGGCAGAGTGTTGCTGCTCCCATTGCCTACCTTCCCTGTGCTTCAAGGGCTGGGGAGGCCAGGCCTGGCTGTATGGCACGCTCTTCTCCCTCCCTCAGTGCTCCAGAGCTGGCCATGTGGCACAGCAGGCCCTGCCTCCTCCATCCCCTGGTGCTTGAGAGGCTAGGATGAAGGCCCAGTGCTTGGAAGAGGGGAACACATGCAAGGTGCATTACCTTGCCTCCCAGGGTGGGGAAGGGGTGGGGCCTATTTGAAAGGGTGGGGATGGAGGTGGGGATGGGGGCTTGCCTCCTGCAGCCCTGCCTTCACTGACCACCCATGAGTTTAAAGCACTTAAATATTAAACACAACCCTACATATCCTTGTGAGGAAGGCTCTTATCATCCCCAACCCCATCATACAGATGGAGAAACTGAGGCAGAGAAAGGTTAAGTAACTTGCCTAAGGCCTCTCAATCAATCAGTGCTAGAGCTGAGAATAGCACTCAAGAGTTGTGATCATCACGGCCACAGTCAACTGCCCTTCGGGTACACCAAGAATGTACTGGAACTGGAATACCACCACCTATGCCAAACCCTAATAGCCACACGTGGCTCACTTGAAATACTATGGACTTTTCTAGTTAGGAGCCACAACAAACTCATCTTCCCCCCACTCTTCAAATAACGGGATCACTGACTTTCAAGAAAAAAATGTTATTTCAGAAGTAGACTACTGTTAATTGAGCAATTTTTAGCTTTTTATTATCTGTAAAAGCGCATGTTAGCCTGTCAAATATTTTTGTTATAGTTTACAGCTGCTTGCACGAACAGTTCACTTACAGGCAAAATTCTCACAGACTCACAAGAACTTCTGGGAAGCCAGCTGATTCTGTCCTGGAATTAACTTTATGATTCAATGCTGTTATGCATTGGACAAGGGGGCATTAGATCTGAGAACTAATAGCCTCCGAAAGGGAGGAAAAAGGTACCTTGCTAGCATTCACCAATTTTTGTAGAGTTGTTAAGAGCAAGATATTGTGTTCCGCTTCCACTTTGCATAGGCTGTGAGTCCCATCTGCACAGTCTAAAGCTATAGAAACCCATGCTTTCAG